TTACTTACTGGATATGGCCATTTCTAATGCTTGGAGAATGCAAGTTATGATAAGCAAGGCGGCGGATGTAAATTATATGGAACAGCTGTCGTTCAGACGTTCAATTGCACGATAATACTTACGACCGACATGTGTTAAAAACCGTTCTTCGTCCTCATCGATACCAGGATTAGAACGAAACAAGTAAGCCGGGGTGTATCAATTTTGAGTAAATTAGCGTCCTTCAATTTCGAAATATCGAAGTTTCAAGCATTTCTGAAATTTACCGTTATATGAGAAGCAGCCATTAGTTTAGTCCGATTTAAATCATTTTTAACGTTTTGCTTATATGTGGCAAGCACAATAACCACACCGAGTTTGGTACAAATTAGTAGAACGGTTACCGATGTGCATATATGTATGTGATCATAAGTGGGCGGTGCCACGCCCATTTTCCAAAATTTTACCATAAACGTATTTCTTGGTAAAGAATTGTTGCTAGCATCAATTTTGAATAAATTAGCTTCAATATTCACTGATTTATCGAAGATTTTGTATTTCTCTAAATTACCGTTATATGGGATGTGGGCGTGGTTATTGTCCGATTTTAAAAAGTTTCGGCGATTTTTTATGCTGTACCAAGGCCAACAACTATGCCAAGTTTGGAAGAAATTGGTGTATCGGTTACCAAGATATACACATGTAACCATAAGTGGGCGTGGCTACGCCCATTTTCCAAAAATCTATAACATTCTTATTTTTCGACTAAAAATTATTGTAAATATCAATTTGGAATGAATTATCTTCAGTAGTTACTAAAATATCGCAGTTTTCGTATTTCTGGAAATTACCGTTATATGGGAAGTGGGCGTGGTTAAGGTCCGATTTCGCCCATTTTCAATACCAACCTACCTTGGATTAAGGGAAACCTACATACCAAATTTCGTTGAGATATCTCAATTTTTGCTCGAGTTATCGAGTACACGGACGGACGGACAGACGGACAGACGGACGGACAGACAGACATGGCTTAATCGATTTCTTTTTTATCCTGATCATTTATGTATACATTTGTCTATATCTATCTCGATTCGTTTTGGCTGTTACAAACAACCGTTATGTGAACAAAATTAATATACCCTTGTGCACAAGTGCGCTCGTGTATAAAAACTACGGCCATAATCCGGAACGCATCGAAAACCCATTACGATGTGTCATTTGCCACAACAGAGGACGCTGGCGTTGTAAGCAATGCATAAAACGCTATGTTTGGAGCGACCATGCTTTGAGAAATTTCACTCCTAATACGCCTATTGTACACAGGTGTGTACACCAGTTTAACTTAAAAATTAAAAAAATAAAAATAAACTGTGTTCTTTCATAAATCAATATTTTAGCCTTAAGTGATGTAATAAACAACAAAAAAAATTAACCCTAATTTGTAGTTTCGTTTTGGGCGGTAATGGGTTAAACGTAAAGTTGATCACATCTCCGAACTTTCGACAAATATTCTTGACTGCAGCATATCTATATTCTTTGATCGTTGTTAGGTGTTATCTTACTAATATTATAAATGTGAAAGTTTGTATGTTTGGATGTTTGGGAAATCATCACGGGGAAACGACTGAACGGATTTGCATGAAGTTTTGTACGCAGACAGCTTATGTGCCAGATTGGTTAATAGGCTATTCTTTTAAGAGTTGCCACCTGGTTAAAAGTTTAATTTATATAATATGCGGGAACGACTGAATGGATTTGCATGAAAATTTGCACACATATAGGTTATGACCTAGATTGGAAAATAGGCTACTTTTCTTAAGAGTTGCCAGATTGGTTAATAGGCTATTCTTTTAAGAGTTGCCACCTGGTTAAAAGTTTAATTCAATTAATACGCAGAAACGACTGAATGGATTTGCATGAAATTTTGCAAGCAGATAGCTTATGACCTACAGTGAGAAAAAGGCTAATTTTTTGGAAGAGTTGCCACCTGTTAAAAAAGTTTAATTAAATTAATACGCGGAAACGACTAAACGGATTTGCATGAAATTTTGCACACAGATAGCTTATGACCTACGTTAGAAAGTAGGCTACTGTTTTTAAGAGTTGCCACCTGTTAGAAATGTTTAATTTAATTAATACGCGGAAATTAATGAACTGACTTGCATGCAAGTTTTCACACATAGAGCTTATGAGCTGGGCTGAAAAATAGGCTACTTTTTTAAGAGTTACCACCTGCTAAAAAAAGTTTAATTAAATTAATACGCGGAAAAGTCTGAACGGATTTGCATGAAATTTTGCAAGCAGATAGCTTATGACCTACAGTGAAAAATAGGCTAATTTTTTTGGAAGAGTTGCCTCCTGTTAAAAAATTTTTAATGAAACTAATTTGCATACCATTTCGAACAGAGATAGCTACGAACCTACGATAGAACCTACGTTTGAAAATAGGCTACTATTTTAAGACTTATCACGTATTAGGAAAGTTAAATTAAATTAATACGCGTAAATGACTGAACTGATTTGCATAAAAGTTTGCACACAGATAGCTTACTTTAACTACTTTTTACTTTATTTTACTTTTTTAAGAATTGCCAGCTGTTTGAAAATAAAATTTTGCTCAAAGATGGTTTAAGACCTGGATTGAAAAATAGGCTA